TAATTAGGTAACTTGTCACTCACAAAAGTCACTGAAAACATTTTGAGCAATAGTACTATAGTGAAATATAAACGTGCTTCTGCATTAGTTAGGATCAGGGTAAAGACAAAACCTGTGGTTACTTTCAACAGTTTACTGAACAATAGAATCAATCAATTTAGAACTATCGTGTATGCTATTGGCACAATTTTACTGAAAAAACAAGTTTTTCATTGGTCATGAATATTAATTTATGCAAATGAGATGATTATTTCAACCAATTGCTGTCCAGTGGGATGATATCATTAGCATAAACTATAAAGGTTTTATTTAGTACATGGTCATGCATATCATGTAATGGTGAATGCATACTATATTCTTCAAATGTCTTCATTTCTATTGGCCGGTTATAGGAACCAGCTTCCAATATTTAAATATAGTTAATAACTCCCTTTCACTTTCAAAATTCCAAACATTGACTCTTAGCCAAGCTCCAACTTCTGAAGTGCTAATGTGGCACATGACCTGGACTAGCTTCACTACAGACTGACTTATTTGCTCTCAACCAATCAGAACATGTCTTTCCAAATACACTGAATTATCCCATGTGTACATTATATAAGACGTATCCTAATTCAGCAAATGATATTTGAATGCAAGACTCCCATGTGAAATGTGCAAGAAAACTATACAAATAATGTATGATATGTTTAGCTGTGAGTTTATTTTCACAAATACAGGGTCTGCCTATATGTATTGTCAGCAGTGACAATTATAATCACATAATAAAAGCATAACTGATTTAAAATGCTCAGTATTATTAGTGACACTGCTTGATTCAATCACTATATCAAGGCTTTAACTTCAGAGGAATCCAAGGCAATTGCCTCAATGCCCAAGGAGTTTGCTTTGGTGCCCTTCAAAAATATAGATTTTCTCCTATACTATGAGGTTATCACAAGAATACGGCAATGGGTATTATTGGCAATCAAATCAATTGATTTGTAGTGGAGGTTGATGTACTTGATGTGCTCGATTGCATATTTTGTAGTATTCTCATTATAAACTTATACATCTTCTTACTGTTGAAATGTCAATGAAAATTGTTTTGCCTTATGCAAATGTTTGCGTACAGTGATTCTTTCCATCACATGCTATAATGAATTGGCAGCAGATATAAACTGAGATAAATGTTCAAACATGTCAATGATGTAGTTTAGCCCAAATGAGAAGTTCAAGTTCAAACCCTGCTATAGTAACAAGTAGCAAAATAAGATGTGCAACCGAGTCAAACAGGAAACTTTCTGTGCAACATGCATCATGTGATTACACAACAGAACCCTGCCTTCTAACAGGAATTATGTCAAAATGAAATCCCTATAACCAAGTTGATACAATTTGATGACTGCTAGTGAGAAGTCTGTAAGATAAATAAAGATTACCGGTATACACAGTTGTACCGGTAACTTTTAAGACGCAAACTAAAATGTCCTGTTCTCCAATTTTCATTGTTTTTACATTTAAACATTATGTTTATGTACATTTAATATAACCGAATCACAAAATCCTTGACTATAAATTAGATGGTTTTTTTCAAGATTACCATATCACTGTATAATTTTCTGTTGTGTCATTAACACACCAATAAGCACAATTAGTCAACATATTGACTTCAAAGGGCACATGAGAACAATTATCACATTATAGTACATGTACATTTCAAATTTCCAAGTTGTTGCAATGAACATATGATTGTAAAAACTACAATACAAAGTAATATTAGTACTGGGTATATTGGATATTTACCCATTTTGTTGTAATTACATGTACACTGGGTTTTAACTTTGCATATCCCAGTGTTACGGTTGCATGCATCATGTTTAGTTATTTTATTTTGTTATTTGACAAACTAAAATCATGAAACAATGTCCATATCTATGTGTGTAAAAATGGTTATATACTGTGTAAATTTTAAGATAGAAAACACAGCAGTTGTTCATTCATGTTTTTTTTTTAAGTTTTACGATAGAATAAACTAAGAACAGATTTCCAGTTGACTGCAAGATCTTACAAAAGACGTAAACGTCTGCTGCAAAAATCAAATGATTTGAGTTTAAACTTGAATTTCTTTTTATTTTCATAGTTTAATGTCAAAAATATACATCTTTCAGAGGTGATTATGATATTGCGATACCCATGATTCATCAAATATGTATAGTACAATATTAAGTGTGGGAACACAGTTTTGACGCTATGGACATTTCTTTGTCCTGTTTGTCATGTATCTAGCAGTGAACAGGTAATTATTCCACATTCATTCTATTATAGAAAATCATCCATTGATTCCATGAGAACACAATAATACTTATCTTACTCTTTCAGGGAAAAAAAGAAAATTGTCTTACTGAAGCAAAAAGTAATCATCTGATTAAAAGTTGTTTGGGATTGTCCGGTATCAACTGGGTCTGCCCAGAATGGTATCAACTGGGTCTGCGCAGAACAGTATCAATTAGAACTGCCCAGCAAGGTGATTCTGAAATTACCTGTAAAACGTATCAAATTAAATATTTTGCAAAAAATGTCATATGCATGATATCGCAAAACTTCATGTAAAGAAGAAGAAAAACCACTTCACTTCCATAGCAGTTACCATGGCAATAAGCCAATGAGACATACACAAATCCACTTGTATCATTGAGTAAGGTTCTTCAACAATTTCATCCGACCAGCTTCATAATCGTCCTCATCAACATTGACAAGCAATTTGATTGCTTCATGTCCGACAGCTTGTTTTAACGACTCGGTGATAAAGACACCTTTCAGCGCTTCCAGTAAAGATCCGTTAATATAATCTCTCCAGAAGGCATCAAGATATGTTAGTTCAGAGAATTTGATATCGCAGATTATTGATCCCAGATCACGGGACTTTAATATAGTGCTTGCTTGCGTGAATTTTTCAAACTGTTGCTCTATCTTCTCAGCTTTGTTTGAGAATATGTTTCCTTGAAGAGCGCCTTCATGCTGACAATATTCCGCACGGACTCTCAGCCTGATATCTGTGGAGAATTTTTAATGCATTAGTTAGATGATGATAATAGATTGAAACAATGAATGAATGAATGGCAAGCTGGGCTTCACTTTGACTGAGGGTATAGTAGTTTTAGCCACAGTGGCAAAAGTATTATAAAAAATCATCATAATTTTCAGATTCACATAGAAAGTTAAAATATGCTAACGCCCGACAACTGGACTGGTATCTGTCCTATCTGATGATGTACATTGTACCTGTCCTTAGCAAGATGGAAATTTAAATTATTAGCTTATTATAAGTCAACAATTCTGAAAGCAATTTTCTTGACATTAGCAATGTTGGGCTATCCCATATTGGCCAGTTACCAAAAACCTAAATCTTTATCTTTACCTGTCCCAGCTAAAATCTGCCTGTCTGGAACAGTGGACAGGCCTTGATACAATAGGGTTAGGCAGTTTGCACAATTACCTGTTCCAGCTAAAATCTGCCCGTCTGGAACAAGTGGACAGGTCTTGATACACAG